TTCTCGTCCTCTGTCTCTAGTTCTCCGGTTTCTCTTGCCGATTTCAATTTTTTATTATCAGATTTTCGGTGTGGGTGAGTCCTACCCCCACTCCCCGGACAAAAATATCCATCGACGTCCCCGTCGATCGCCCAAAGTCTAGGAGATCGAGGTTGGATTGTGGAACACGTAGAGGACCATCTGGTGCGACCCAGTTGGACTCAGTATTGTCATGATTGATGTATTTTATGCCGTCTTTATCGACGTCCTGAATCGTCAGAATCGTCTTTTTTGGATCTGTCGACAGATCGAGCACGTCTGAAGCCATTCGAGCACGCGCAAGTTCGTTAGTTCTTGCTCATGAGTCTGTTCCGCTTCTGGTTCGAACTCCACTTCCGGTTCTGATCGATCGTCGATCCAATCTTGATCCATATCATTCACCAAGTCGATTTCTTCTAGCATCGCCACTTCGTCCAGTCCCACTAGCGAGTCCATGACATCACTTACAATTATCCTGTCTACAACGAAATCCTCGCCGTACGGATTGTATTTCTTCTTGTTTTTTCCTCTCTTGCTCTGGCGTGTTTCCATAGTGAGAGGAAAGTCAGGCTGTATTCCTTTGTCAATTTCGATTTGCTCCGGGCAGTCCCAGTCTTCCTCGGCATAAGGTAGAGTTTCATCGTCCACCTCTACTCGCTCGGTCAACTCGAGATCCAGTGGTAGGTCGCAATCGTCCACCACCTCATTCCCGTCGTTTTTGTCGCGAGTACCCCTTTCATTCACTTCACAAGCAGGATCCACTATCAAATAGTCTCCTTCTTGCATGTCCGCTGGGATGAACCAGTCCTCTGACGAGGCATTGTGTGGTTTGATATTTTCGTAATGAGCTGCTCTTCCAGTGCTCAATCGATAAAAACGACCCCCTTGGTGCACCTCTGTTATCTGAAATGGACCACGCCATTTCTTTAATAATTTCTTGGTTCCTTTTGGTGGAACCACTTCCTGAAACACCCAGACGTAGTCGCCAAATGAGTAGGCTTTCGCATCGGCTGTCCTTCTATCAAACCTCCTCTTTTGTCTAATTTGCGCCTGTTGCGTGTTCCTCCTGCATAAGTCATTGAGGTTCTGTTGTCTTCTAATAACATCCCGCACGTACGTTTGCGGTGCTGTCCTCTTCCCCTCATATTCAGGGTAGAAAAACGTCAACGGGAGCGCTTTTTCATGACCCGTTAACATCATGTGCGGACTTATTCCCGTGGTTGAATGCTCCGTGCTGTTGTAAGCACCCATCACTTGCGGCAAGTGCTTGTCCCAGTCATTCATGTAACGCGAGCAATAGACTCTCAGCATGGATACCAGTGTGCGATTTTGCCTCTCGACTAGGCCATTCGTTTGCGGGTGATAAGTGGTCGAGTGGGCCTGCGCTACCTGCGACCTTTTCATTAACTCCTTCGTGAGATCACCCACGAATGCTTTGCCATTGTCCGATTGGAACGTGATGGGGCAGCCATGCCTCGCTATCCACACATTTATCAAATGATCGCATGTTTCTTCCGCCGATGCTGTCATGCAGGGTGCTGCCTCCGCATACTTCGTAAAATGGTCGATCATTACCAGCACCTGATTATAGCCCGTTGCTGTCATGCAGACTTTCTGATGATCAATTTGCACCACTTCGTTGAAACCTGACGACTCTATTGACTGTAGGGGGAACCTTAGTTTCCTGGGATCCTTCGCCTGCTGACATGACAGGCATGCGGCAATCCACTTCTCACAAGCCTTCTTCATTCCCGGCCATTCGAATCGTTTCTGTATCCTGTTATACACTTTGTCCTCCTCTTTTTGTTTGCAGGCTACGATTCCGTCCTTGTTCAGGTACAACAAGTCGTTTCGCTTCAGGTAGAATTGCTTCAAGATCTTGTAGCTGTCTTCTTCCAAGTCTCCCTTATCAGGTGCTCCATTCTCGATCCATCTCTTCAGACTGCTCGTCATTCTATCATTTTGTTGAGCCCTTAGGAGATCCGACAGCCTGTATCTGGCTTTCAAATAGGTCTTTACCACGTTCATTTGCCCACTCATTATCTCCGGAGCATGAGCATCGTCCATCAACTTGACACACCATATCTTTTTCAAAGGCGTCGCTTCCTGCACAGATGGTTTCAGATTGGTACGGACGACCGTACCATGTGGCAGCAATCTGGTTGGGCGTTTCGAAACTGCTATCAGCTCGAGCTCGTCTGCGGCATTATCTACCACAGTGCCCTCTTCATCTGAGGTGTATATGTCCCTGTCTGGATCCTGATGCGTTTCTCGGTCCAGCCCACGCTGCTTCCAGTCTACCAATAAGGAGTGGATTGCGATCTCTGACATATCGGAATTGGAAGTTGTTTCAGATGTGTTGTCCCAGGACTGGGGCCTCGAGTCAACACTTGAGTCGACTGATTTCCCAACATCATATTCCAAGTTGTCTGAGATGTTTCTCGACTCCCCGGACAAAACTCTGTCCATCGGCCGCTTCAAACCCGACTCCCCGGAATAAATTCTACCCCTAGGTGGTCTCGTCAACCTCTCCCCGGTCAAGTCGTCCTGCACGGGCTCAAAGGTGTCTGACTCCTCAGACGAGTCGTCCTTGACTGGCTCGAAGGTATCAGACTCCCCGGACATTGTCAGGTCCACGGACGAACAATCTGGGCTCGGCTCGTATTCTTCTTTTGCATCCGTGAAGTGCACTCTCCTCGTGAAGCTAGATTTCGACTTGATCCTGACTTCCTTAGTGGTTTGGTTCTGATTCAGTGTTCCATATTCAGTGAACGAAGTTCTCAATAAGACCTCCTTCGGCATCGAGCTCACCAGCTGGTTGACTATCGACCTGCAATCCCGTTCAACGCCTCGGCTGCGAATGGACACTGGCCTCTTCTCTGTTCTCTCGGTGACAGTCAACCGCTGCATGGTCTCCATCCATTCGCGATCATGCCTATCCACTTCCCTGTCCAACAAGTCACGGAGCTTTCCCATAACGTCCGGCGCCACGTTCACCGTCCTGTTCAATAGAGCCATGCTGTTTATACCTAGTCTGGTAAGTTCTTACTGTACCAAGTTGGATCGGACTAGCAGATCCAACGGAACGGGCTCGCCTCTGGCTAAAAGCTTTATCTCCGCGGCCGTCTCCACTGGAAGGTCAGGGTGTCCGGGTATAGGATGCCCTGACTTGTCTAACCACCTAGTAAGTGGCAGTTTGTCGTAGGTTTCTTTGTCCAGAAAGGAAAACCCGTCTTTGATTTCTGATTGGTTAGCCTGTTTCTCCTCGAGGCGCTCATAAAATTCTGTCTTTTTACTGAGGCTATCTGCGTTCTGGTGCTTGTCACGGGTACGGTGCTCTATGATCATGTGGTATCCATCCAGGCGCACGATCCATCGACCAATATAACTTTGGTCCATCGAATAGGTTTTCAGCCAGGCAAGGGCACGATTATCCACACGTAACTTAAAGGGAGCACTCCCCAAGTAAGCCCTGTATTTTTCAACGAAAGTGATCACCGCAAACATCTCCGCTTTTGGTGCGCCGTACTTCATTTCAGTATCACTCAGGACTTTACTCCCGTAGGCTATCGGACGAAGAACCGTTCTCCCGTTCCACTCCTGCTCCTGGTGAAGTATGCCCGATATCGCAACCACTGATGCATCCGTGTCCAGCACGGACATCCCCTTCTCTGTTGGCATGCCGAGGACCGGTGCCTCGCAAAGTTCACGTTTGATGTTTTCAAATGAAACTTGTGCCTCATCAGTCCAAGTGAACTTTTTGCCCTTGTTTCTCATCAACCTCTGCATGGGGTATATTTTGTCAGCATACCCCTTGATGAACTCTCGATAATAATTAGCGAACCCCAAAAAACTCATCAGCTGGGTATCTGTCTTAGGCGCCTTCCAGGTCAGCACCGCTTCAACCGCTTCAGGATCTGGTCTCACTCCATGTTTGTCCACCAGGCGGCCCAGATACTTTATGGAATCTCTGA